ACACACACACACACACACACACACACAAGCACACTCACAAATACACATCTTCAGTGTTCGAATCTAACCATATGTGTTTCTGCCTAATTAGGTAAACCATTCCTTTTTTCTTACATTATTATGTTACTCTTACATTCGTCATTGCAATTGGTGTCACTGCGATTAGTAAAAAGAACTACACCATTTTAAAAAAAGCAATTCTGTAAAATACAGTATAGACATCACATTTGTCTCTTTCTTTGACAACAACCCCAACATACTAAAACTGGGTGGTTCTTGTTGAGAACTCAGCCACCATGCCACGCTCTGCTGATGTTATCTGGCCCAACTGCACAGTGCCACGAGGTCCACTGACTTTTGGGACTTGGTGAACTGTTGTGATTCCTGTTTCGTCAAGATTGAGTATCTGAGCTCCAGATGAGCCACCCAGGTCTCTATCTAATCAAATTGAAAAATGTTCCCACAGAATGTCCGTTGAAAGCTGTGGCTCTTGCCAATAAGGTTAAATCTAGCCTCTGGTGGTCGCAAATAGAACCCATTTGCCAATCCTTTCCGGCACATTTTGCATCATCTAACAAAGATGGGTAGGCCTACGAAAGGTCTTGGCAGATTTGCAACAGCGACTTCATAGATTAGTTTTCTGCAGTTATACAGTTGTCAAGCAATATAATATTTTGGCACATTTCAACGTTTTGCGCCAATTCAGCCTCCTGTTCTAATGTGAATACTTGGCAGTTTAGTTTTAGTAGATGTTTTACGGCGCTCGCAACTGCATAAGGTCATATGAGCGCCATAATACTTGACTATGACGATAGTTTGGACACAAATGAACATCATCTTGAAGAGCTTTCTTCACATTGTGTTGAAGGGTAGTGTGAACAATGCCGCAAAGACATGTGGCTTCCCATAAAGGCATTCCATTTCTGAAAGCTTCCACTGCATCTTTTATTGTACATGTATCAGGTAAGGCTGTGCATATTCCAGTCTTCCTTAAATACGTGGTATTGTCCCTAGGGGTCTCTCGAAGTCCAACCCCTCGTCCACGCCGTGGGAGATGGAAACAGGACAAAGTAGGGGATAGCTGGGTCTGGGTGAAGTACGATGTGACTTTATGTCACTGAGGCGTTACGCTAGCCGTGAAGGCCGACCCGGGTCACCCCGAAACGTTGCTGGCCAACGGGGCTCTGGTGAAACTGCGACTGGCTTAGCAGGCCGGCAGTGGATATAAAAATTGCTCAAGAAAACATAAGGAGACACAAACGGACTGATCAAAACAAGCCATCCTTGCATGCGGCGAAACCGGAATACATTGGCTTACAATCATCTTTCAAAAAGCATGGAAAGAAAGAAAAGTGCCAGCAGACTGGCAAAATGCGATAGTGGTGCCAATATGGAAGAAAAAGGGCAGCAAGAAAGACTGCAACACCTATAGAGGCATATCTCTTCTCAGCCATGTTGGGAAAATGTATGCAAAAATCCTAGAGCGACGTACTCGCGCAAAAACCGAACATCTTCTCAGTGACGCCCAATTTGGCTTTAGAAAAGGAAGAGGGTGCACTGATGCAATCTTCGCACTCCGACAACTGTGTGAGAGGGCTTTGGAATACGACAAAGATCTCCACCTCGTATTTGTGGATCAAGAAAAAGCCTTTGATCGAGTAAATAGAAACAAGCTATGGAAGATCTTAGAGCAGTACGACATCAAGGGACAACTGCTAGACAACATCAGGGCTATCTATGCCAACAGCAGAAGCGCTGTCCGAACTACCAGTGGAACATCGGACTGGTTTCCAGTAACATCCGGAGTGAGACAGGGGTGCAATCTCTCCCTTCTGCTCTTCGTGATCTACATGGACCAGATAACAAAAGAGGCCAATCCAGACCCAGAGGCACTCAACGAACTCATGTTTGCAGATGACCTGGCAATGATTAACAACAAGACTCAGCTACAGGAGCATATAAACCAACTAAATGCGAGCTGCGAAAAATATGACATGAAGATCAGCATAAGCAAGACCGAAGTCATGACAATTAGCAGGAGACCAGGCAAAGTGGATATCAACATCAATTGATCCCAACTAAAACAAAGCAGAGAATTCAAATATTTGGGCAGCATTTTCACAGAAAATGGAAAATTAGATCGAGAGATAGAGACTAGATGCCAGAGAGCCAACGCAGTCAGCTACCAACTGGGCCCTCTCCTGAAACATCCCAATATCCCCATGAGCACCAAGGCGAAGCTCATCAACGCCATTTTCCTTCCAACGCTCACATATCAGTGCCAGACATGGACTCTAACAAAAGCCCTAGAGAGGAAACTGGTCACATGCGAGATGAAATGCTTAAGAAGAGCGGTCAACAAAACAAGAAGAGACAAAATTAAAAATGAAGTCATTAGGGACACCGTGGGAGCAACACCAGTCCTACCACACATTGAAAAACAAAGGGTCAAGGGGTTCGGACACCTCACGCGGATGCCCTCAAACCATCCAGCTCTGAGAGCATACAAGATTAAATATTCTGGATGGAGAGCCAGAGGAAGACCAAGGCGACGATGGAGTGAATCTGTGGCAGACACCCTTAAAGATCATGGGATGTCCCTCCTACAGGCCACACGACTTGCTGCAGACAGACACCTATGTCCCCCCCGCGACACCCCAGGGTACAAGCGGAAGAAAAAAGTAAAAGTAAGTTGTCCCTAGAGATTGAACAGAAAAAAAAAGAATAAAGAATGCAACGCATGTCTTCGGGACGCTGGTTTACAAGTGACAATTAGACTAGATTTAGAAAGAAGCGGGTACACATGCAATGACAGTGTCACACTAGAGCGCCAATGAGGGGAAAACTCCGGAATAGTAGATCTACAGCATTACCCCCTTGGATTGTTTTGAAAGTCTATCTAGATCTGAACCTATATAGATCTATATACCCTTTATATTCTATCAAAATCTAGATCTAGATCTACCTTTTATCAGGATTTAATTGGTAATATAATGATATGACTAAAATGGCATGGAGATGTGTTGACGATTACTCCTGCTACGTAGTGTGCCACACATAGAAAGAACTGGGCAACACGTGGGGAGAAGTGGGCCGACGGTGGTGGCCATGAAAAACTTATCCCTATTGGCAGTCTAACTATTCAAATTAATGTATGTTTTCTTGAACAGGCAGTTAAAACATAGTGTTCAACTGAAAAATAAGTATTTAGATAAGTTCTTTTGCTAATCGTTACACTTACCCGATTGTTTTGCTCCTCTCTGTGGTAAAGTTGCACAACTTTTACTTGATGAAAACATCTCTTCCACTCCATTTACCGGTACTCAAACCGCCCTTTAAAAAAAGGAAGTTGTTTCTTTGTGCTGGAAACAATTTTTGTTAGTTTTTTGTTTTTTTTTGAATTATGTGCAAAATTGCGCTAGACCTCTAGATTTGGCTCTTCAGAGGGCGGTCCACTTCTCTCCACTCTCCCCTAAGAAAGAAATTGCGTCACACCATGCTGAGAAAGTTTTGGAGAAGTTTGAGGAGGAAAAGGGTTAGTAATTATAATATTATGCTGTTGAGGAGAGGTCTGTGGGGTGGGGCCACCCCATACATCAAGAGCAGTGGCCTAGCAGCATGCATGCATAGCTTTAAGTTTAAGAACGTTTTGGGGTATTCACGATCCTTGGTGTGAAGTGTGAGCATGGATGAATCCCCGCGTACTGTATGAAAGCATGTTTTGTTTGCTTGATTGTTTATTTATTTGTTTGTTTTGTTTTGTTTAACTCAGATTTGTTTACAGGCGAATCAGCTAACAATGAAAAAAGAATAAGTTTGATATACATGTACATTGTATCATCCGGTATCGAAAGACTACGTTTTGAAACAGGTCTCAAAAACCAACAGTCCCTTTGATAACAGTGCGAAAGTGTTGTCTTTTACTGTCAACTTCTATTTTTTCCGGTTCTACACATACATGCTACAGTTATTTCTCTTTGATTTGTACATCTAGGTTGTGTGTATGGTCGTTGACTGTCACCTGCCATAGCCCGGCCGCTGTGGACTGCTGTCGCCTGTTTTGCTTCCGTAGCAGAGTAGCAGACGCGGCACACACAACACAACGGTCTACCGTGACCCCCCCTTCCCCCTCACTCTCATTGGTGCCTCGCCCTTTTTCGACAGGATTCTGCTTCAGAAAACTGCTCAAAGACCCTGAAGAGAAAGGTAAGGTGTGGTTACAGTCAATGAATTTAAAACAAAAAACCATTATGTATGAACAAGAAGACCGTGTGTTTGAAATTGAATGTGTTAGAATTTGTCGCGGAATGCTCTTGGCGTCTGTGCTTGACTTGAGGACAATGCGACATGCACCACCACCGGCGAAGTTCTGCCACACAAGTACAAGGCACAAGGCTTTGTTGATTGTTTTCGACGCCAGCAGGATTAAGCGTAAATGTATATCTAGTGCCATTTTTTTAGTGATGTGGATCTATAGATTCTATCTATTTTTGTTTCCGAATGAAGTTCTAGAATCGAGAATTCAACCAACAGTGGACTAGATTCTAGATCTAGAGTCTATGGACAGTTTCTCAGTCTCAGTCATAGAGAAATAATCTAAATAATAGGTCAAGGCCTGCCGTTGATCTAGATTTCTGAATCTAGAGATCTAGATCTATATATCTAGATCTAGATCTAGATGTTGATCTAGAACAATTCCATTGACGGTGCCAAACAAAAGTTTATATAATGTAGATCTATCATGTCAGTACAAAAGTTCATGGAGATTTTGTTCATTTTTTGAAGAGCACTGTATTCTAGGTTTGCATTATTGAGAAGGCCATCTGACATCTTCTCTATGTATGTTAACAATAACATGTGTAAGTGCTATTAAACGTGTATCTAGATCTAGATCTAGATCTAGATCTAGATTCTAGATCTTAAATTCCCTAGATCTAAGTATAAAACAAGAATGAAGTAAATGTGACAATATTTGACGAAAATACAGAAATTTTAATTGTGCATGGTGAGGAAACACAAAAAGTAGAAAATGGCCTCTGAAGTTGAGCAACATGTTTCCATAGCAATGGGGGTCTTAGAATTGAGATAGAGACTTGAAATTTAGCAAGTTATCTTGGCTATGCCACTACAAGGTAACATACAAAATTTGAAAACTATTCATTCACAGAAAAAACTACAACTTATGGGCCAAACAGACTACAGTTTTAACGATGGTCTTCACGTCAAATGCAACGAAATATTAGCATTATACTAGGCACCAGACACTAAATTTTCAAAGTAGCGGTTTGTCAAATTCATCTGTTTTTTTATGAAAGGCCTATATGTCTCCTGAGAATATTGGAATAATATTGGTACCATACTTTTACCTCCCAGTCAATGTTTAAGAGAATGGCAGCTGTTTCAATTTAACATTATATTAATAAAATATTGCTGATGTCGTTAACTGGCTGCAACCCCATGTTTACAGATAGTAAAAGAGTACCAAGTGCACCAAACATCTCTACTTTAAAAGAGTACAATCACTGTAACATAAAAAAATGAAGCCTAATATTTTTCATGACTGAAATCATTACAAATCAGTATTCTATTGTGGTCTCAAACACGATCTGTCGTTATTTCAATAAAAACAAAGGTGGCCATGAGGTAATGATTCTAAAAATAATCTCTCTGCGACGCACTAGCAAGGTCCAAATTCCTTTATCTCATCACCCAAGCTCACTACAAACCACGCACACCTGCAAAATAAATCAAAATAAAATATTTATATTCGGTTACAGTCGTTTATTTTTATCTTAAATGAAGCAGAAGACATCAAACTTTCAATATATCCCAAAAAACAAAATTTAGCCTACACATGAGTTTGATAGCCATGTATGGAGGATTTATTTTTGTCTAGTGGTTTCATTATAATTGTTCTGTTGGGACATTCACACAGCCTTGTTTGGCTCACTGGTCAGGTTTACAGCGGCCATGATAGATAAGTGCAAACCAAACCATTGAATAGAAATCAGGCTATGCTGGTTTCAAATTTCCCAGCCTAGGATGTGAGGCAAGTGGACTTTGTGCTTGACCAAGAGAAAAAATGGCGTCATAAAGCGCCATATTTCTAATGATTCTGACCATTCCCTACACCAAATGGTTGGAAGGAAAAAGGGAAAGTGACTGAAAGGAAGCAGATCCTGATTGCCAGCTCTCAGGCCATGGTGGAGCAGATTTGTGGTAGCAACCAGTGTGTCTGGAGAATGAGTGTGATGTGTGAACAGTTGTGGAGTGTGGAGAATGAGTGTGATGTGTGGAGAGAATGAGTGGAGAATGAGAGTGATGTATGGAGAATGAGTGTGACATGTGAAGAATGAGTGTGATGTGTGGAGAGAATGAGTGTGGAGAATGAGAGTGATGTATGGGGAATGAGTGTGACATATGAAGAATGAGTGTGATGTGTGGAGAATGAGTGTGATGTGTGAACAGTTGTGAAGTGTGAAGAATAAGTGTGATGTGTGGAGAGAATGAGTGTGGAGAATGAGAGTGATGTATGGAGAATGAGTGTGATGTGTGGAGAATGAGTGTTATGTGTGAAGAATAAGTGTGATGTCCTGAGAATGAGTGTGATGTGTGAAGAGAATGAGTGTGGAGAATAAGTGTGATGTGTGGAAGAATGGATGTGCTGTGTGAAGAATAAGTGTGATGTTTGAAGAATAAGTGTGATGTGTGAAGACTGAGTGTGATGTTTGGAGAATAAATTTTATGTGTGAAGAATAAGTATGATGTTTGGAGAATGAATGTGATGTGTGAAGGTAACGAGTGTGGAGAATAAGTGTGATGTGTGGAGGAATGAGTGTGATGTGTGAAGAGTAAGTATGATGTGTGAAGAATAAGTGTGATGTTTGGAGAATTAGTGTGGTGTGATGTGTGGAGGAATGGATGTGATGTCCGGAGAATGAATCTGATGTGTGGAGACGGACTGTGATGTGTGGAGAATGAGTGTGATATCTGGGGAAATGACATCAGAGTATTTTACGAAGGGGTTGATCTGGGTGGGCAGAGTGTAGCGGGAATGATATGGCCTCTTGATACAGCTATATTCACGTTCTGAAGGGTACAAGGTTGGAAGGTTGAGATACCTCTAAGCATGATGCAGTGGAAAGACAGCCAAACCTGTTCTAACAGCCTCTAGTCCAAGATAACCTATCCAAACTGCCACTTCCCACTGCCCCCTTGCATTTTTTTCTTTACTATAATGACACTGTCCAAGCCATCCACTGAGTAAGACAGCCACTTTTCTCCTCAACAATTGATGGCTATCTTGGGCAATTTCAACTGTATAATTTTATGGAAGACAACTTCAATTTGTTGACTGTAACCTTGTCCAGAGGCTCTGACAAGGATGTTAAGTGAACAGGAAAATGCAAGACAATTGCACTTTGCACAGACTCCCATACTTTTGATTTGCTGTGGAAAAACAACTTTGTTTTTGTTCCTCAAAATGTACTGTCTCCAAGAGGATTTGTATGCTTGAATGTTTCTAGACCTTGGATATGAGAGAGGAGATGTGTTTTACAGTTTTACAACACTTGCAAAACAAATAGGTCATATAAGTGCTGAAGATTAGATTTGTTACTAGTGAGTAACATACTAAAGAAAGGGAGTAGAGGTATTGATTACGTATGTTTATTGGAAAGAAGGAGCAAATCACACCAGAGCACCCGCCAGCCACCACCCATGAAAGTTGTGGAAAGGGACTTGAAAATGTCAACATATAGAATTGAACAGGGTCTATCGGTGCTCACACATTGGGGTGGTTGGTGAGATGAAATGCAAAGTGTCTTTGGTATTACAAAATTCAAGAAGCTAGTTCAAACCTGACAAACAATCCCAAATTATTCATCGATCTTTCCCGCTCCGACCAGGTATATTGCGAGGTGCATTGACTTGAGAAATGACCAGCTTCTCATGAATGTGCTAGCTCTATCTGCATGTCAAATCATTTCTTCCTCTGGGTATAGTGTATAGACAGGAAGATCTGTCTTGAAGTATATTTACCCTTTTATTTTTACTTTTTCACAGTTTGTTTGGTGTCTGAGGTTCACTGAAGAGGAGCACGTCGTGAACATTGGTAGAGACCCAGAGAAATTTGTCTCCCAACTTTGACTTCATCTCAACGCAAAGTTCAAATTTCATCTCGAAACAAAGATGCCTCCAATCCTGGGTGGTGCAGAAAAATGTCCCCGCTGCAACCAGAGTGTGTATTTTGCAGAGGAAGTTCGAGCAATGGGGAAAAAGTACCACAAACTATGCCTCAAGTGCTGTAAGTATTATAGTACATGCAGTTTTTTAACTAATTTCTGTCGATGAGTATGTAAAAAAATACATTTAATACGTTTTTGAAAGTTGGTGTACGGAAGTCTGCTTTCATGTAAAAAAATAAGTACAGTCGAACCTGTTTTAAGGGAATCTCCCCGCTCTCCCCCCTTGATGTATTCCTTTTTAATTACCGGTATAAAACGGATACCTGTCCTACGTAGAAACGGAAAGAAAATTTGCTCCCTTCTGGGGCTTAACCTGGCTAAGACAGAAAATACTTTGCCCGCTCAGCCCTGATTTGAAACAAAACTCGCAAGTTTGGTTCCGCCGGCTCGGGCGAGGAAGGGGGGTGAAGGTACAATTTGGGGGTAGATGTTCCCCCATCTATGTGAGCCCTGGGGGATGCAGATGGTCAGGGTGGTGTGGATGTGAAATATCAGGAGTGCTAGTGAAAGTGCTCGAGTCCAAGTAGCGAGCCACCACAGAAACTTTCCTGGTAGCCAGAAGCCAGAGGTGTGAAATTAGTTTGACCAATGCTTGCCACCCTGATCGTACGGCCAGCCGAGAAAAGGGTTCTTCGAATCGTTGTTACATGACAGTGAGGGGTGGCATTGGTTGACTGTACTTGTTACATCGATGGGTGGGGCTAAGGGTGGAAACAAATGAGATGTTCAAACATTTCTTTTTAATAGGTCAAACAGTGGTCCTATACTATGCAATGAAAGCACTGGTGATAATTGGATAAGTAAGACTGAAGCATATCATTATCAGAGTTTCTGTTTCCTAGTATTGCTCCTCACTGACTTGCTGATGCTTAAGAAAAATCATGAACTTTCAAGACCTGGTTTGTGAGAATGAAGCCCATGTATAAGTCAGTTGGAGATATCTTTTGCTGCTGGTCCTCTTTGAATAGCTTGAATTCTATTTTGTGTGTAAGGTGTGGAGGGGGGGAGGGGTAGTTATTTGCTCAAGTCAATGCGTACAGCTTGACCCACTGAAAAGTTGGCAGTTATGTTAACTGAAGAAATCCGAAAGGCAAAATCTTTTATAACTGTCAGTTTATTCCCATTTAATAGCCTGCAATATACATATTATATAGTCTTTTGAATGAAATGAGTGTTTAAGTTTGAAAAACAATGTTCACCTCTTTCTTATTGAAATGTTTGGAAAACAATTTTAGAGTTGTAGAAGATTATGTTTTGAATGTATTGAAGTGTTGGGATGTACATGCTTCTAGAACAATCCTGCTATTATGAGTGGTTTCATCAACACGGCATGTGTGGATGTTCATTGGAATGATTCCCTTGTGAGCTGATGAAGAATTTGAAAACTGCTCTTTAGGCTCTCTAAGAACACATGCAGATTAACGATTCCAGTTTTGCCCTATTTTCACTACTGTTTGCTCTTCACTTGTAGCTGTTTATTCATATTCCAAATGGTAAAAGAAAGTAACCTGTGAATGGTTGGAGGGAGCCACTGGCAGATACTTTTTCATTTTTTTCCCTCAGTAGTTTCTTTCTGTTTGTTTTACTACATTATTATTTCCCAGCACTAAATGATGGTCATTGTGATGATATGCTTCTCTTTACTGCGACAAACAAACAAGCTCTTTACTTAACACTTACAGTACCGAAGGCTCATATAGTGAAAAACTCTCAAGTACTTCTTCAGTTTAGAATGCTGCAGCCAGGATATAATTTTTTTTAATTAAAAAGAAATATTCACAGCCTGAGAAACGCACTATAAAAGTTCAAAGAGTTTCATCAACCATTCAGATCGCATAAAGTGACTTCCTTGGTATTTATTTCAGTACACTTGCTCCGTTTGTTGTTTAAATATGTTTAGCGTGCCTGGTTGAGTTGGCGACTAAAGTCACCAGGAATAATGGGAACATACTACGGCTTTGCAACAAAATCCACCGATGCTACTAAAAGTGTTAAAGTTAAACAAACTGACCTGTGACGTTTACCTGTTGTTGCCCAGCTGAATGTTCCAAAACCCTGGACAGCACCAACTGCAACGACCATGACAACGACATCTACTGTAACACGTGCTACAGGAAAAACTTTGGCCCTCACAGTGCCGCCATGAGTATGACTGCTGACTCAGGACAGCCTACTGAGTGAGTTCTTTGTGTGTGTTTGTGTGTCAGTGTGTGTGTCAGTGTGTGTGTCAGTGTGTGTGTCTGTGTGTGCGATGTGCAGGACACGGGGTACAGGAACAACTTTGGTTTTAACAGTGCCACTGTGAGTAATTGTCTCTTTTCTCATTGTACATGTTTTGCATCTTCTGTAATGCATTTGTCCAAGGATGACTTTCTTTTGACATTCATGGTAGCAATATCACAAGCATGGCAATGTTTCCACCTTTTTACAGTTACCATTTTGCATTTCGTTGTCGTCGTTCACAAACCTTCTAAGCGCCAAAATTTACAAAATTTATTTTTTTGGCTTATAAGATTCTTTATAATATATCGCATATCCCAGTCGAGCAAAATTTGACACTGGTGAAAAATAAGTACTTTTAAAACACAAATTAAAAAACCGCCTATCTCCAAATGGGCGAAAGCCATCAGACATATAACTCGTAGGCGTCAGCGAGGCGCATAGGAGTTTTGTGCCTGGCGGCCAAGCTTGTTCAGCCGCCGCAGTGTGTCGCTTATGTTAGGTAATTTTAGTTGGCCTAACAATAGTTGTAATGCCCCACGGTCCGTCTTACTCAAGCGTATCACTTGCGTCGGGTCCTTTTTCTTTTGCACAGTGGATCTAGATCAAAGGTGGTAGTTTCGTTGGAAAACCCACATTTTTCCCCTTGGCGAAGGGCCAGATTAAGTTATAGTAAGGTTGTTCACACTTAAAGCAGAAAATCAACAAGCAGCCAAATTAAGAAATAGTGCCCCATCAAACATCGGAAGGTCTATGCCCATATATGAAAAACAGCCTTCTTGTACTCCTAAGTACCAAAAACGTTGTTCACGCTTCAAACTGAACTGCGGCCTTTTCCCCTTACTTGAAAGTCAATACAATACATTGTAAGGAGCAGCAAATCAGGAATTAAAATTAATGTGATGCTGTATAAGACTGGGTTGTATGACCATCAGCAGTGCTGGAGACCACGATTTTGTGTCTTGAAAAATCCATATTACTGTATAAGGAACAACTCAAGTGGTCACTCAAAAATTGTCAAGCGAAATGTGCATTTGTTTTATTCTTCGGTAAAGATGTTCCCCGTCAGCTGGGTCCAGTTGTCACTTTCAAAATCTGACAAATGTGCTTATCGTCAAGACGAGATTTCTTCCCCCAAATCATTGCTGCCTGATGAAATATCAGAAAGGGCCATTGAAGACAATAGTGGACAATGTTTTCATCCAAGAGACACCAGAATGATATTTCTGCGTCATGCTTTGACAAGTCGGATTTTCCTCTGGTTACTGTTACTAGCTCAACGCCCAGAAAAAAATTGGTCAGTGATCTTATTTGACCCAACTCAATCAACTTCAACCACTACTAGTACTAGAGAGCTCTAGATGCTGGATTCTTGTCCTGCCTGTTCGGTCCATACAAGTTCTCTTCATGCTACGTTGCAGTCTGACATCCCTGTAGTTTTAGTCGATTGTGTTGTTTTCACAGCTGACGTCACAGAGAAGCAAGACTTTTTCAGGGAATCGGGACGAAGTTGTGTCTGTGCCAAGGGCACCCAATGACCCACACGCCAACTCCTGGAACCTTGCAACCGCACTTGCAAAAGGATGGGGTGCAATTCTCTTTCAGATGAAGACATAGGAGAGATCTTAGACTATGTGTGCTCGTCATCACAGGGGAATAAGATCAGTGCACATCAACTGTCTAGTTTGCAAGGTTGATGTGATGAGGAAAGGGACAACTTCTGAAGCATCAAAAGGATCACTCATCCTTGCTCATATCAGTGCTTCATATAGGACATTGGAGCTAGAGTTGTGTTTGCAAGAAAATGTTTACCATTGCCCTAGCTGGACTGGACGATTCAAAATTCTACTGATTTCTTAGGGTCAGATTTAGAGGTCCTGCCAAAGGCAGTAATCAACCTCCTGTTCAAAGTGATGTGAAAGTGTTTCTGTAAATTGATTCTTTGGGATATTACCAAAATTCTGTCTCACTTTTGTCGAAAAGCCTCAGCAAAATGTTATCAGGGGCTTCACTTTCATTCTCTGGTGGATATACATCAGGAGTACCAGTACTTGAAAAGGTGTGAAGACTTGGGCCGCAATGGAGTTTCACAAAAACAATTTGGCGTTACATCATCCCCAAAAGGACCTGTGTGATGTATGTGTGTCTCACAGGGTTGGAAACATGGATGAAGGGACATGGAAACAGTACAGGAGGCTGGAGGAAAGAGCCTTTGCTGAGAAAGAGATGGACAAGAAAGTCGGAGTCAGGACTGTTGCCATTTCTATGAACTTGGAGTCTGTGCTTCTTGTTCCTTCACTTCAGGCATCTGCTATCTACAATAAGATGAGAGTCACAGTACACAAGTTGCACAGTGTACGATCCGAGGACGTGGTGTGTTACCTGAGGCATGAGGGAGAAGGTGGGCTCACGTCAAACGCATTTTTGCATCGTGAGTGGTAGAATATCTTGAAGGTAAAACCGAAACGGACAAGATAATTTTTTAGGTGATAACTGTGTCTATCAGAATACGAATATTGTACTCGCCAACACAATTAGTGACTTCTTCGCTCACACAAATAAGACAGTGGAACGTGAGTATCTAGTTAAAGGACACCCTCACATGGAAGTTGATTCCTACCACAGCCTGGAAGAACGAGCATCAAAAGGTGTTCCTGTCTACCTGCCAGCGAACTACGTTAGCATTATTGGCAAAGCCAGGCGCAACCCCAGACTATTTGAGGTCAATGCCTCGGTCACACATTTTTCAAGGACTATTCCAAACGAGGGCCATGCAAAACTATGAGGCCAGGTCACGGAAGAGGTGACGTGGTGGATATTTTGTTGTCTTAGGAATACGCCTGATGGAAACATATCCTTCAAGCTGATATTTGATGAAGACTGGAAAGATTTTACTCAAGGAAGAGAGTATGCAGTGGTAGCCAATGAAAAATCTAGACCTCTACACAGAAGCCTTGATGATCACAGATGTGAAATTCAAACACCTCCAGGGACTATAAGCTATTATGCCATGCATTCTACATGAATCTTGGAATATTTAAAATTACTCCAACTGCAACTGAAAGAGAAAGGATGAGAGAGAGAGAGAGAGAAAGAGAGAGAGAGAGAGAGAGAGAGAGAGAGAGGGAGGGAGGGAGGGAGGGAGAGAGAGAATGTGGTAAAGAGAGAAAGAGGCAGAGAGAGTGAAAGAGAGAGAGAGAGTGTGGGGGGGAGTATTTCGAAATGCAGAAAGAGAAAGACATTGAATGCATGAAAAAGGAGAGGGGGAGGGGCAGAGAGATTCACACAGAGATAGAGAGAAAGAGAGTGAGAGTAAGAGCTTGTCTCCTAATGTGCGCCTGGGATTGGGTCCTTGTAGCCATTGAGAGTCTCGAGAGTCTCGTTGCATGCAACAAACTGGGGGATTGACAGGTTTAGAGGAGCACTATTGATCAAAATACCTTCTCAAGCAGTGCAGGTTGACACGCCGTGTGTGGTGTGATGTGTGTGTGTGTTTGTGTGTGTGTAGGATGTTCATCTTCAATTCGACCCAATGCAAGTTTTGTGAATCTAATTTTGTTGTTTTGTTTTTTTAAGGAACAGCAGGAGGAGGAGGAGGATAAAGAGGAGGAGGATGAAGAGGAGGAGGAGGAGGAGGAAGAGGAGGACTTACACGGGTTGGCCATGTACGGAATAAAAAATGTCAGCGGCTCGTAGAACTCCTATCTGACGGGCTTTGTACTTCCTTGTCCATCTCAACATTAAAATTTACCACTGTGTCTCTTCTGTGAATTGCCAGTCGCGCGCGGCTAAATGTCGCGTCACGCATAAGGAGACAGTTTAGTAGCTTTTGTCGCATGCAACTGAAAATATTTTGACCTGATGTGGTCGTGCATTAGGATACATACTTCGCGACACATCACTGGGGACTGTTGCACGTGACTGAACATCGTGTCGTGCATAAGGAGACATAGGCTAAGAGAGAGGGGGGGGAGGGGAGGGAGGGAGAGAGAGAGAGAGAGAGAGAGTGTGTGTGTGCGTGTTCAACAGATAGAGAGAGAGAAAGATTGAGAGAGAATGAGAGAAACACACATACACACAACACACACATACACATAAAAACACACGCACACACACACACACACACACACACGTACACACCGTCATCAATGATTCACTCAAGAACAAAACGACCAAATCGACATCACCTGACGACAACCGATTTAGAGCCGTCGTGCAGAGACCTCGTACGTGACACGCTTGTCGCTTACGAGGTCTGTGCAAGATGAAAGAACTTCAACAGAAACATCATAACTCCTTTTTCTTTGTCAGTATTCATTTCACTGCTTCAAACAATATGTGAGAAGTTGAAGAATCATATTTTTAAATGTTAAAGTTGAAAAGTTTCATAAAATATTAAGAATCAATGGAAATAAAAAGTTTTTTTTGCTTCTCCTGTAAAGTACAGTCGAACCTGTGTAAGACGGCCACCCATTGTCAAGGAGAAAAGGGGCTGTATAAGACTGATCAAGATGAAGAAAACAAACCATTCCTTTCTGAGGTTCCAACCGTAGGCAGCCGCATTGTTGTTGTTGTTATTGTTGTTGTTGTTGTTTTCGCTGGGATTTTTTTTCTGTTTTTTTTTCTTTTGTTGCTGCTTTTGTGCAAGGGTGACAATAACATGAAATGTGTTGGACAAGGAGGACCGAGTGCTATGGTAAAACAAACACATGGGTCGCCACCATGTGACGCTTGTGTTACAAGTACATGTTGACATCCATTGTTACTTTGTTACAGACTGGGTAAACAGTGACCTCTCATCTCACTTACAATTTGTGTATGAGTTTTGGGCAGGGCTTATGGGTTATGAGGGATCACACACTTACCTCACCAGCTGCTGAAACTTTGTTACCTATTGATCTACAGTGGGAGGGGTCAACGCAACATGATCAACGCAAGGGGGTAAATGGAAAGTAGCCGTTTGTACAGGTGGCCGTCTTATAGAGGTGGCCATCAGGGCAGGTTTGACTGTATTGTTGATGGTGCTTAGGAGGTTTGTGCACGACAGCAACGATTTGTCTTTTTGACTTAAGTAATTAGGATGAATAAATACAGTGATTTCTGCTCTTTAACACTTGGTCTTTGCACTAAACCTGTCACTTTTGTTGAACAAAGTCCTCACAGTCTCCTCTTTGCCAGTCTGTCTGTTAGTAGGTAGGCAGTGAAAAGTGAATAAGGAGCGAAAAATGTACAGAATGTCATTCTCTGGAAAAGATGAGTTCACGGCGAAGCTGGTGATTGCTGTTCTGGTAATGGCTGTTTCCTCTTGATATCTCAATTATTAATGTTACTTTTCCCTCTGCTAAATGGATCTCATTTTTCAATTGATTCTTTTTCTGTTTTGAGTTTCATGCCTTGAAGCTATCAGTTCGTTTTCTGTCTATGTACAGTTGTGCATTTCATTGTCTGTTTGTACTTCAAATCTTCTTTTAAAGCAAACTTTTTTTTATCTCTACCTTTCATTGTCACTCGATAGTTGGAATCGCTTCTGTCTTTTTTCTCTCCCTTTATCAGTATTGTAGACTGAGTTTGCTTTGATTCAGAGCACTTTTTTGATTTTGTAGTGGTAAAAATATATAAATTAAGTCACTTGTTCTGATTATTAAAAGGACTGCAAATGATTAATGTAGACAGAGGGCTTAGAAGCACATACAGTACAGCATAGAAGAGTAATGGTCAGGTAAAGAGTTGTCCAAGAATCTTGTGATATTTTAAAACTGAAGTACTGTCACCTGAGTTTTTTTTTGGCATTGCACCTTTCCAAATATGGCAGGGACTATTTCAAGACCTGTTAAGAAATGCACTTTCTGCTGAACGTTTGTTTTGTACTAGCTTGTGATAACTGACTGAACAATAGATAGCCTACATTTTGCCCCTAACATTATGGTCAATAGACTTGACCCTTACATTATATGTGTTGTAATTCTTCGTACAGCGTGAGCAGTGCGCCACCTGGTGTTGATGTGTGTCACCGCTGTGGGAAAGTGGTCTACATGGCTGAGAGGTGTGCGGGGGGAGCCAAGGTAAGACGGATGAGGTCTGCAGGGGAAAAAATGGCACAGTCACATTGTTTTGAGTTATGCTCCATGTGGGCTTTATTATGACTCTACAATTTGATATAACATTTAAGGGAAGAAAAATTACAGGGTCCATGCAAAATAAACAGAACACATTGTATATTCTTTTGTAAGACATTAGGTTCCAAGGTTGTTGTTTTTTAGTAAGGAGAAGTAAATTGACACATTGGTGGTCTTTTTGTGCTAGGAAAAAGTAAGACACACTGACAGGAACAAACAAAGGAAAAATGAAGAAGTTGGACTTACAAGTGGTGTTCTTCAGCCACCCGCTCTCAGTCCCCAAAATATGACTCTGCCGTTTCTTCCCTCTTTAGTCTTCAAATCATTCTTTGGGGGGTTCGTTCTTTGTTAATTTGGAATTTTGACTTTTGATGTCCAGATTGCTGGCTGTAATTAATTCTTCATTAAAGCTCTCGTTCAAAATCAGTGTGTAGCTTAATGAAAAGCTAAGGGATAAGTGTTGCTTAAAAAGGTTATGATTGCCTCTGTTGACTATTCTTGTGCTGTGACAGGCAGTGATGTGGGAGGGGGGAGTGCGGAGATGCTGTAGCAGTTCTCATTAATCAGTTTTTAGGATATGTTGGTTGTGCACAATGATGCCAGTTTACTTCTGCTTCACCTCAATCTTTGAAGAAAGAAAAGAAAATGCTATTTTTACCAAAGTTGGTATTTTGGTAAATTCAGTTTTACTTGATGAATTCTTAGTTTCCCTATTTCCTGACAGCACTGCTTGGCTCCCAACGTTTCCTTCCCCCCCCCCTTACAGTACCTACATTTCCCTTGTTTTGAAACAAACATTTCCCTCCTTCAACAAATCTAACACCTCCCTCCCTCTTTCAGTATTCACATTTCCCAACCTCCCACTCTCCAGCCCCCTCCTTCCTTCCACAGTACAGCACTAACACATTTCCCCCTCTTCCTCCCTCCCCCTTTTCTCCATCCCCCTCCCTCCCCCCTTTCTCCATCCCCCTCCCTCCCCCTCTCCCTCTTTCCACATAGTACTTAAACATTTCCATCTGTCCTCCTACAGTACTCACATTTTCCATCCCTCCCTTTCTCCATCCCCCTCTATCTATCTCCCTCCCTCCATCTCCCCTCCCCCTACCTACCTTCACAGTACTCACAGATTTCCCTCCCTCCCTCCCTCCCTATCTTCACAATACTCACACATTTCTATTTCTATTCCTCTTACTACAGTACTCATATTTCTCTCCCTCCCTCTCCCATCCCGCTCTGCCTCCCTCTCTCCATCTCCACTTACCATTCCTTCCTTCATGGTGCTCACACATTTCCCTCCCTCTCTCTCTCCGTCACCCTTTACCTCTCTCCCTCCCTCTCTCTCCCCATCTCCCCTCCCTCTTTCCTTCCTTCACAGTGCTCACACACTTCCCTCTTTCCCTCCCTCCACAGTACTTTCACAAAAGTTGTTTCCGTTGCAACTCGTGCGGAATCAACCTGGACTCAAACCGGCTGTGTCTCAGGGAAGAAGAGATCTACTGCAAAGGTGTGTGCTTGTGTATGTGTGTGTGTGTGGGGTGGGGGTGGCTGCACATGTGTGTGTGTGTGCATGAGTGTGTGTGTGTGTGTGTGTGTGTGTATGTGTAAATGTGTGTGTGTGTGTGTGTGTTTGTTTGTGCTTGTGCATGTTTGTGTGTGTTTGTCTGTACGTGTGTGTGTGTGTTCTTTTGTATGTTTGTGTGAGTGTGTACATGGAATAATTTTTCTAAATGTCAAGGGTGTGTGTGTGTGTGGGGGGGGTGGAGTAGTAGATCTAAATGTCATGGGACAGTTGGCTTATGATCCTCTCCTAGCACTCTTTTTTCTGCCACTCAGGTCCTTCGGGGGTGCAGATGGAACTATTTTGTAGACTACTCAAGGAAACAGTAGTTGGTTGTTGGTGGGTGCTTTGGTGTGGTTTGCTCCTTCTTTCCCAACAAACATCTATCATCGTTTTCTCTCCTTCCTTTCCATTTATGTTATGCTTCAGGTAAACCTCCTAATCTTCAAACCTATTTGTGATATAAGTGCCATAAACCTTTCACGATAAAACTAAAAACTGTTAATTAATGTAGCTGCTGTGGACTCATTTTGTTTATTGTTTGAGAAAAGTTTAGTGCCCTACTAGACTTCAGTTGGTGTTTTAAAGGCAGAACGCTTGACCCAGTAGTCAAAGTAAGATAGGAGGAAGTAAAATAGACAAAGATGAAAGATCAAATTTAAAAACACTCTTCTAATGCCCTAGATAGGAAATTACCTGAAAGAGGCTGCCCATGATATTCAGTTGAAACTGTCTAAGATAACCACCCATTTTCTAGGAGAAAGGTGGTCGTGTTAGACAGACGGACGTCTTTATACAGTGTCATTGTAATGTAGAAAATACAAAAAGTGGGAAATGGGGAGTGGCTGTTTTTTATAAGTGATTGTCTTAAAAAGGTGGCCATTAAAGCAGGGTCGCCTGTAGTTGCAGTTTGATTAACAGTTAGGGTGTCAGAGAATAAATGCAGCTGGTTCAGTTTATGAATCTTCTTGTTATCTTGTTTCAAAATCAAAAATATAAAAGGTTGGAGCAATTGATAATTATCATTGTCAGAAGAAAAATTCCGAACCGTTTTTTACCCTGCTTTTACAAGCGCGTGTTGCTTTCCTGTCTGTGTTGACTTTTCTCCACTGCTAAGGCTGTTGCCCGTGTTGGCTCAAGCAAAAGACAGCTGTTTGTTTTGCAGGAGAATTTTGCAAAACTTGTTAGCCCAGTTCAGAAAGGTGGTGATTATGATTCTTGTTTAAGAAAACAGTGGACTTTTGCAGGGGTTGAGGACAGGATTTCCAATGTTATATTTTGGTCTTTACTGGCATAACCAACATTATTTTTACAAGTTTGAGGGTCTCATTTTTCCCTCTAGTCTTTGTTTCCACTTCTTTAGTGTCTGTTTACCTTTTGGAAAGAAAAAGTCAGGGTTTAAAATGAACAAACATTATGAATTGTGAAAACAGTGGAGATTCATTTTTTTGTGTTGATTTTTATCCGGTTTCGGTATTTTTTTCTTCTTTTTTTTCGGTACAGGAATGTTGTCTGATAAAAAAACAAATCTGAACTGGATAAAAGCAGATAGTTGGAGACTATTTATGGGAATAACATTTTTCTTGGCTATTAGTTTGCTTTGTTGAAAACACTCTGGATTTTGGTACCAACGACTTATATATATATTTTCTCTTTCTGCTTCAAGATAACAATGTAAATTTCTGAGATTTTCTTCTCAAGCCACTTTGGAGATGGACATAAATTCTGAAACGTGACCTATAATAATCAATTGTATACAGAAAGGGATGAATTCTAAAAAGTAACCTCATAAATAATGTACAATTGTATTTAGAAAGGGAGAAATTCGAAAAAGCAACCTCTTTGATAACAAACAATTGTATCAAGAAAGAGAGAAATGCTGAAAAGTAACCTCTTAAATAACGTACAATTGTAGGCCTATATAGAAAGGGGTGAGGTATATTTGTCCCATGGCAGTTGTTGCACAATGCTCAATTAGTTCTTGGCACTGCCAGCATAACATCTGCTAGCTATTAAAATGTACAAAGCCAAGAAAGCAAAATTTTTCTGTAAAAGGGAAAATCTGCTTCAGTCTTTAAACAATTCTACTACCTACACATTATGTATTTTTTTTTTACCTTTTCAACATTTAGAATTTGAATTTCGACAAAGTATTTCTTGAGCACATGCAACAGTTACCACTGATTAAGAAACTGCCTTTAAAAAAATATCGAAGTTTTGGGCTTAGTACATTTTAACTTCTGGCAGATGATAAGGAAGTTCAAATTGATATTTTTCTTCAGTTTGTGTCCTGTTTGCAGATTGTTGGAGCGTGCCCACTGGTGGGTCCTACTTCTTTTCTGTCTTTCTCTTCTTTCTATCTGTCTGTCTTTCTTACTTTTTTCCTTGCACCGAATGACTGTTTTTATATCTATGTGCTTCTCTTTACTCTCAGCAGTGTGTTTGTCTGAGTGTGTTTACCTATTTCTGTAACCTATTTTTGAGTGCATTCACCTTTTTTCTGTGCCCTGTTGCAGGGTGTTTTAACCTGTTTGTGTCAAACTGTTTCTTTGTGCATAGACTTGTTCCTCTGATCTGTTTCTGTGTAGGCCTACTGTTACATGTCTCTATGACTTGTTTGCAATGAGCTGTTACCTATTTTTTTGTGTTAACCTGTTTCTCAGCCCTTGTTCTGAAACTGTGGGTGGTTGGTGGGTGCTCTGGTGTGGTTTGCTCCTTTTTTCCTATCGAACATCTGTCATCCTTATCTCTTCTTTTTTTGTGTTTATTACCCTCTTGTAACACCTCTGATCTTCAGCACTTATGTGACCTTATTGTGTTGCAAGTGCTATAAAACCCTTACTTAAACCATACTAAAACTCTGATCTTTGGCCCTTATATGACCTAATTGTGTTGCAAGTGCTGTAAAATGCTTGCTAAAACAAAATTAAAAATTTCTGAGACCTTTGAGGTGTTTCTGTGACCTGTTTCAGTGTGCTATGGGAAGAACTTTGGTCCAAAGGGTTATGGCTTTGCCGGAGGAGCCTCTGGTCTGTCGATGGACACTGGCAAGGTGGATGACGTCCCCACCAGGTGAGTGAGTCACTGCCTCAAATCCACACTTGTAGGAGGCAAAGGGATCCCTGTCGAGCAGTCATGGTAATTGAAAACAAACAAGACAGAGGTAGACCCAGAACAACATACTTGAAGAGCCTAAATACATTGGGTGATGGGGAAAGATCAGGATGATGTAGCTTTTTTTAAAGCATCCCAGCAAAGGAATGTAATGAACGGAGAACCATGATCGGCAATGTCTGTCGCAGATCTGGCACTTGATAATGAATCATGGTAAAAGACTACTTGGGCCCTCCATTTGAATTTACGTGACCTGCTACGTACATCTGGGATCTCCTTTCCATGTGAGCTGCCATGATGTCATTTGCAAAATACACTTATAACTTATTTTAACAAACTGAAGGTTAGATAGACTTTAACTACGTGGATGGTTGGTGGGGACTCATGTGTGGTATGCTCCTTCTTCTCTTTCAAATATATATTGTCCTCATCTTTCCTCATTCTTTTCTTTGAATGTTACTCTCTAATAACACTTGTAATCCTCAGCACTTATATGACCTGTTTGTGGTGCAAGTGCCTTGAAACTTGCCCTAAAACTAAACGCTTGATCTTGATTTTTTTTTGGGTAAAAAAGCAACTCCCCAAAGCAAGTGTAAAATCAAACAAGCTCAGAAAGGACAACATAATAAAACACATTTACAACATCGGGTCCCACTTACATCTAACTATTAGGTAAACACTTCCCACTTTATTTGGTTAGAAAAGGATATAATGTGTGGTCAACCCTTCTGTACTTCTCTGAATGTTGGACAGTTACTTCTGAAGACAGTACAAGCACATATAGTGAGTGGGGGGGGAAGCCTGCATGTATTGTTGGATAGTGGGATAGACACTACTCCCTCATCCCCACCTGTTTATTGGTAGTTAGTGGGAAAGACGTATCTGCTTTTACTACAGCACTACCCTAGAATTACAAAGTTCTATCTGATCAGAACCTAGTTTTGACAAATTTTTTCTTACAAAATTTTGAGTTTCACAGCATTTCAAGCTGTTTCGAACGCAATTCTTTGAACATCTTGATAACGACTCTGAATAATCTTACGATTTTGATAGAGCAAATAGAACGTTAAATTTTTTTGGTTTCTGACTTAATGGTCTTAGTAACTCCAAACGGCCCAAAATGTTAGATAGAACTTTGTATTTCTAAGTGACTAGTCTCCCCCCCACCACCTTTTCCAGCCACATCCCAGCCATTGCCCAGGCTCACACAGCGCCACTGATGGACAACGGGGAGCCCGAGCCCGAGGGAGATGACCAGGACTGGACAGATGACAAGGAGCGCTGCAGCCGCTGTCGCAAAGTGGTCTACTTCGCTGAGAAAGTATCTGGTGTGGGGCAGGTACGTTGTGTCGGGTGCCCTTAGTACTTCTCTGGTAGAAATAAACTTTGGCCTTCCTTTCAAAACTTATTTGACCTAGTGTGCACATCCAGCATCTCCACCCTCCGTGGAGCCACTTTTGGGTTGCCTTGATGTCATATGTCTAAGGTCCTTTTTACCTATTTTAAGAATGGGGCATTGAAGTTTACTTTTACAACTTTTTCTTTCTGATATAATGTTAAAAAGTACAGTGTTTATACCCATCACACCAGCAGGTGGTTGGAGAGCACCATTGGTAGGATCTTATTTATGTTTTTTCCAGAGCACCATTGGTAGTACTTATTTATGTTTTTCGCCCGAAATATTGTTCTTGTCTGTCTTACTTTTTCCATACTCTAAATGACCTTTATTGTGTCCATGTACTTTTCTGTACTCAAACAAAATAGAAAACCCACCATACTACGAAACTTTAACCCCCCAAAAAGAGAAAAAATTCACAATAAGCTGGTGTCAGAATAAGCTACCTCCCCCCCCCCCCCTCTCAAAAAACCCTGAGAGTTAATGGTATTTGGGCTTACAAGATGTTTTTATGCACTCAAAAAATTCCATCTATAAGACAAGGTTTTACACAAAATCCAGGGTCACAAAGGGGTTGCAGTATGCTGTGCAAGAACAAGAGACAGCAGGCAAAGATGTGCAAAGAATGGGGTGGGGGGGGGGGGTATACTTTTACCACTTGTGTTTCAAATTTTTGTGGCCTTGGCCTTCCGTGTTTTTGTCCCAGGTGTTCCACAAGGCCTGCTTCAAGTGCCAGAACTGTAACAAGAGTCTGGACTCTACCACCATGACAGAGCACGGGGGCAGCATCTACTGCAAGTGTAAGTCTGCACATGTCCTTACACGCTACTCACACTCACTGTCACAGCACACACCAAAACTTGGGTGCCCTTGAAAACTGCAAGTTTATAATTGTTGTGCCTTTGATCTACTATTTCCAGTAACATCCACACAGAGATGTGTTTTTAAATGGACATAAAAGGTGTTGAGCCACAAAAAAACAAAAAAACAAACATCTATGAACAGCCAGAAAAATGCGGGTTTCTTTGATTCAATTATTTTGACAAGCGCCTGTTTTCACCGCAATGCCTCACAATTATTTGTCTTTGTTTCCCCCACAGCTTGCTATGGGAGGAACTTTGGCCCAAAAGGATTTGGCTTTGGAACCTCCATGGTCACGGAACAAGCTTAGAGAGCACTGTGGGATCAGTGGCATGGTCACCTGACCTGACCATCTCTGGCAAGCCCCGAAACTTACATTTCGTCATCTGTAATTATTATTGAGCTCTATTTTTTAGTGGATGATCGTTAGACTGGTATATGGAGTGAAAATAAGGAAACAAGAAAATCACGAATCCAGAATAACAAGGTTCTAACCAGGGAGTTTCTCACGTACTCCTTCTACATTGTATGTCAAATTTAGAAGTCATATTCCTTCATTTTTTATGAGAAAACTGTGTTGATTTTATTCTTCATTTGAGGAATTTAAAATAGTGTTTGAAACCTTTGTACTCAAATAATCCAAAGTGACTGACTGAGATAGGAACTTGTTGTTCTGGGGTCGCGAATTGTCGGCACTGACATCAGAGGACTGTTTCTGTTGTTCTTCTTTTTATTAAGAATTGATGGTCTTCAGCTTTATGTTTATCTACATTCTAGTGAGGTTGCTTTTGTAGTGGCTGATTCCCCTATCTTGGAAAAGTTAGCCTTTTTAGTTAGGTGTAGATGGGACCCGATGTTGTAAATGTGTTTTATGTTGTCCTTTCTTAGCTTGTTTGATTTTACACCTGCTTTAAATTGTTGTTTTGCCAAAAATCAGGAGCAAAGATGGATGCTAGCAAGGGAGAGGAAGGGGGGGGGGGGAAGAGGGTGTTAGCTAAGGATTTCTTTCCTGGCAAATGGGGAATAACTTTGCCTCTTCCTGTGATATTATGGCACCAGACATTCTGTTTGCTGTTTTCAGTGAACATTCCTAGTGCTGGTTATTTGGAAATCTCAGATTGGTGTGAAGGGTTTTTATATTAAGGGAGTCTTTCTCTGTGAGCTTGAAGAGTTTCCGTAGATGTGTTCAAGGATTAGAGTTGGGAACAAGTTTCACACTATAAGTGGCACAGCTACAGTTATATTCCTTTTAAAACTTACAGAAGCAGCAAATATTTCTGTTGGGGTTGCCCTTCCTACCGTAGAATTTTGAGTGGTCTTCTCCTCAAATTATGAAAAAGTTCTTTTTTATACTGTCTTCTGTGTCTTGGCTTTTCTTCTGACTGTTCTGGATTTATGGAAATGATCTAGGTTACCAGATTCTGTGATGGAGCGTGGTCAGGCGCTTTGCCGTCACTCACAGGAGACTAGAGTTCGATTCTTGAGGGGGGGGAATTTTTATCGAGTATCTAGTCTTTCTGATGAGACGTTGCATCCCTCTCAGCCTGGGTTGGCCCTGACACGTGGGATCATAGCCTGCCTCCTGAATGATCTAGTGTTAATGGGGGATGCATGAAACAATTACGTTTTTAAAAAACCCAAACATACTTGGTTTTGTCCATAGAGATATGTTGGTTCCTATCCAAACCCTACTTTATTGTGGTCAGTAAATGTTTATTGTTTTAGTTTGCTCCAGAATGTCTTGCACAATCCCTGCCAAAGCTGTATTTATTACTCTAATTTTACCCTTGCTCTAAGAAGCTGTGCACATTGCATAAAGTTTTGTCAAATCCCTGTTTGATATGGTTCGATGCGTTTGAGGGCGGTCCAATTTTCTCTTATGGAGGGGCAAAAGCTGCCATTTTGCCACAGTTTGATAAAACCCTTCAAACTCAAACATGTCCGAGTTTGTAGTCCTAATGGGTTCATTTGATGAAAGCTGACCAGTTGGACGGCTACTACACAGTTGAGGTCATATCTTTGCGGAATGCAATAGGCCCCAGGCAACTTGCCGGTCAAGTTTGAAGAAGCAAAGCAGGGGTCAGTTTGATATAATGTGCGCTGGCTGGTGTCATGACGCCACCTGACCTGATTGGATCTGATCATGTATTTGACCAATAGGTATCCAATCGGTTCTTAGACGTACATCCTCCATTAACCTCTGTCTACTTTTGTAGCTAGCAGAGTGCTGTTTTGAGCCATTAGTGTTTTCCGTTGTCTGACTTTCAAAATGTTCAACAGTTTGTCAGTTATTGCTTCATATCCGAACATGATCTGTGAGATGATCTAGGTGTTTGATAATGACTTCAGTATTTTGTATACGCAGATCGTTTGAATGGTTTGTGTAGAACACACTTTACAGTTCGTTCTATTTTTGTAACACTTGAATATTTACACAAGTGAGAGTGAAAATGAGCCTTATGTCTGTCCCTGAACTGTTTGTGAAATTTTAGCTTCACCCAAAGACCAGGGTTTTTCTTGCCCCAAAATGTTGTGAACATGATTTTAGAATTTTATCTTTTTTCTTGTACCGACTTTGGCTAGTTCATTGTGGGAACCACTCAACAATCATGTATGTCCATTTTATACACATTATGCATTCCTGGCATGTTTTCCCAATGTTCATTCCTCATGTTAGCAGCGTGTATGCCCTCTCTACGCAAATGTTTTTACGTCTTCTTCAGAAATGTTTACATCTCTTTACGCAAAGGTTTGTAGCCTGCCGCTTTAAATAAGTACATGCTTATACCTCTGTTGTTATCCTTCACATACACTCAGTATTTTGTTTGTCTTGTACTTTGCAGTGTTTATTTTTTTAAAAACTTTTATTGATAAAAGTTTTGAATTCGTCATGCTGTCACACTTTGTTTGGAGATAGGTGTGGTAGGCTGACAAATCCAGAACCTCCCGGCCTGTAATGTCAAGGTGTATAATTAATCAGAAAGTATACCTAACTCTGATGTAGGCAGTTTTATTTCTCTGTACAAGCATTCAAGTTAAGTTTTTGACTTTATCACTGAGGTTTTTATGTCTTGATTTAGTTTGCTGTTTAGTGTTAGGTCCATTACTAGAGGGTTGGCTGTATTGAGTATATTTCTTAGGCTTTTATAATGAGAGGATTGGCTTTGTTGAGGATAAGTGGATGGTTGGTGGGTGCTCTAGTGTGGTTTGCTCCTTCTTTCCTATGGAACATCTATTGTCCTTTTCTCTACATTTTTGTGTTTGTTACTCTCTCGTAATGCCTCTAACTTTCAGCACTTATGTGACCTAATTGTGTTGCAAGTGTTGTAAAACTTTTACTAAAACATTATTGTGGGTGTTATTCTAAAATCTTAGTCTCTGAATGTTCTGTCCCACAAGAGTAGAGTTGAATGGTCAAGATCTTTGACAAGAGCGGAGAGGCCTAGATAGAGCAAGGTCTCTGTGATGTCTGAAGACAGGGTTGGGGAAAGAGGGAAAGGACACAGTGTTTGTGTATGTGTGTTTGGGAAAGTAGTGTGTATTTGTGAGATTAAAAAGGGAGGG